ATAAACCCGAAAGACCTGTACTGTAGCAATACAATACTATGACGCCCAACCGTTATTTTGACTGGGTTTATGACTGAGCATTCTGAGTATTCTTTTGATTATCATTCTTTTTTTTTCAATCCCCCAATCAAAACCCAATGAGAAGCAGCGCTGCTTTTCGACGCTGAATGGGGTGCATCACTCTCCTTCCTGCAGCGCTTCCGCGAAAAGGTCCTGCAACAAGGTTGGGTTTAGGGTTTGTTCCTTTCGCTGCCTTTGTGCTCAGGCGTTAGGGTTTAGCGCTCAAGAATTATAGGGTTTAGGGTGGAGGCTCCATCGTTCAGCCGTCGCAGTCATTTCACTTGAGGGATTTTGGCTCTTCAGTCGGAGAAGGCCTCTGGAAGGGCGAGACGCTGCAGAAACTTTTCAACATGTGGGGGTTTCCGCAAATACGCGACCCTAATATAGCACCCTAACTATTATAAGGACCCCAATATAAGGTACCCCTGATTTTCGGAAACTCCCATGTCATGTAAGGCATGGAATTTCACGAAAGGCGACGGTGCTCCCCCGAACTTCGCTGGCGATGTCAGCTGCGCAACACGAAACCCAATTCCCTTACTATGCCCTTACTTGTGACTCCAAACCATACAGAACTGTCGGCTATGACCACATAATTACAGGATTTAACCCGTAAGACTGCAGGGTTTGGCGTTTTCAATTGAACCCGAAATCCCCTTAAAGCCCTTGTGACAAGCCCGACACCCCGAACCCCGAAATACCTGAATCAAGAGTCGCCCTAACCGCGCTGCCTCGAGTTGTGTGCTGCATGGATATTTGCATGCTGTCTCGCATGAGCCGCTCGCGCTCGTGCGCGCAAGATGCCGACGCAGGCGAGCGAGACAGCATGCACAAATCCTTGCAGCACCCCCGCCCAGGCAGCATGCACAGTAATCGGGTGTTTTGAGTTTCTGAGTAACCCGAAGAGACTTGAGGCTTTAATGGTACAGCCAGTGTTGAAACCAGTGCATGCTGCCTCGAGCTGCATGCTGCATGGATATTTGCGTGCTGCCTCGTATGAGCCGCTCGCGCTCGCGCGAGCGGAGTGCCGACGCAAGGCGAGCGAGACAGCATGCAAGAATTGATGCAGCATGGTCAGGGAGACCCTTGACCAAGCTGGCCCATCTAAACCCCGAACCCCTAAATTTCCCCTAAATGCTCAACCCTGAACCCCTCAACCGTATAAACCCTGCAGAATCTGAAGCAGAAGCCCGAGACTCCTCCATTGCCCTCCAGGACCACGCCGCTGCTCTTGGCGAATAACCGAAAGCCGGGTTCGGATTCAAATCCTGCGCGGACGCAAACGTTATGACTTGGCGTTTCGGCTTTGGGGTTTAGGGTTTAGGGTGTTTTAGGGTGTTTTAGGGTATTCAGGGTTTAGGGTTTAGGGTTTCTGAAAACCCAGAAGCATGCTTGCGACATCTCGGAGTCTACAACCTGACAGGGTTTTCAAGTCTTCTCTGCTTTTGGGTAGTTGGGGCGCTTGGGACGTCTGAAAGCACTCCCAGCCTGCGCTGGATTTGTAAAGCCATGCCGGGCGCCACCGAAGAGCAGCATGTCCTTTTCCAGGGTGTTCGAGTTGAGGGATCAGTTCAGCGCCGCAAAAGAAATTCTCAACAAATGGGACTTGGAGTCGCAGTACCTATGCCAGTTGTCTCTGTGGTAACCTACAACAAACCAGAATTAGGCCCTAATTCCAAGACTGTCCTACCTCGACCCTAAACCGTTAACCCAAAACAACCCTAAACCGAAACCAAACCTAAACGCTAAACCCAAAACAACCCTAAACCGAAACCCCACTTAAACACTAAACCCAAAACGACCCTAAACCGAAACCAAACCAAAATGCTAAACCCTAAACAACCCTAAACCGAAACTAAACCTAAACCCCAAACCCAAAACAACCCAGACCGAAATCAAACCTAAACCCTAAACCCCGAACAACCCTAAACCGAAACCAAACCCAAACGCAAAACCCAAAACAACCCTAAACCAACACAAGCTCGCGGTTCCATTAATTCATCTTCTCAGGAGCTGGCCCATCGCGCCTTTGCGGAGCGCATCTGATGTTCGAACCTTGCTCCGGAGAACCCCCTAAACCCTAAACCCTAAAGCCTAAACCCTAAACCGATTCAAACCAACCAGAGGTCTCCAGAGCTTGGGGATTGTATTGCCTCCTACATAGGGTCTAGGGTTCAGGGTTTAGGGCTTCGGGATTGGGGTTTAGGGTTTAGGGTTTGGGGTTTGGGGCTTCGGCTTTTTGTTGACACCTTTTTTCCAACAGCATGGTACACATACTAGGGCTTCGGGTTTGGGGTTTAGGGAGTGCAGGGCTTGGGATTTGCGTTTAAAGTTTAGGGTTACGATTCTGATATAATAGAGTTTACAGTAGGCTTTTCGTCTAAAGGTTTGCACAGGCTTGGGGTTTGGTTTGGGCGGTTTCTCAAAGCACAGACATGGCGATGTACTTATGCAGCATGATTTCGGTGGAACGGGGGTGTAAGGCGTTTTTTGTTTGGGAGGCAATTACCACGGAACAATGAAACGTGTGTAGGCCTCCGGCTGCCCCACCACATCATGCCGGTGCACCAGCACCACAACCCGAACTCCAACACCAAGAGCATCATGCGAAACCCGTCCCTTGCCAGGTACCTACATAAACGAGTCTCTGTGTCACTTCCTCTGTAGAACCGTAAGCGCCCGCATGAAACCCTAGAGGTTGCAGATAAGACCGACCCCCGCAGCCGACAGGTGCGCGGCGCGGCCCGACCCTCTGCAGTGACGAAGGGATCAGCATCGCCATGACAGACCAGAACACGCGGCCTTGGTGCAGTTTCTGAGACCCCCTGATGAATCCATGTGCCTATATCATATACACAGAACACTTGCGCAGCACAAATAAGTACCTGTGCCGAAACAGTATATGCCTCTTCCGTGTAGAGTATCGCTAGCCGCTAGGTTTGCTTCGTATTTGGGAGTCCGTAGGACTATTTAGCGGAGCGTAGCCAGGACCCTAAGAAGCCGGTATACCACTCCTACATACCCAATCCTGATTGCATAAGATGGCATAGCACAATGCAGTAAAACAGGAAGTTTCTTCGCAACAAAATAACACATAATCTTGCAAACATATACATTAAATTAATGAACAAAGAAAAATAAACATATATATATATATACACATAGAGATATATATTGGCAACTTCTCATAACATTTTTGCACACCTATGTATATATATATATATATATATATATATATGTGTGTGTGTGTGTGTGTTGTGTTACATTTAAATTTCAGACAGAATATATATATATATATGTATACTTATATATATATATATATGTATAATAAAAGAACAAGTTAGAATAGATTAGAACAGAATAGAACCGGTTCGAACAATTTTTATCATATGAGCGGCTGACTAAACCTATGGTTCGACGTAAAGCCCGCGAGAACTCAGGTCGGCCCCTATCGGTTATGCAAAGCTCAGCGAATATGCCAGAAGACTTACTCAGGGGTGACCCCAATCGGTTATGCAGGGATCAGCTAACCAAACATAGGTCTTCCCCTATCGGTTTTCATGCTAAACCTACTTTTCCACAATCTCGTGTCCACTCTAGTACTGATTACCTCTTCCGGAGGTTTAGTCCGATGCTCATATCATGATATGCCATGTTGTAAACAATTAAATTTCAGCAACTAGAATAGACCCGTGACAGAACATAACAAGAAACAACTAAAATCAACAGAAAGGAGTATAGGGAAACAACACAAAGCATAAGTAACCTGATTTAACTAAGAAATTAAAACGCTAAACACAAGAACATTTCACAGAGCACAATAGTATATGCCCAAGCGGGAAAAAACGTAATATGCTTTAGTATCATTGTGGCGTGGTGTGTTGCAGCTTGGTTGTCATTGCCAACAAAGTGGTATGACCACTGTTGGGGCCGTGGGTCTGTGAACCCATGTACAGTGGAAATTGCCCATATAAATGCATGTACTCTATCTCTATACAAGAAGAGTATGATGACCATTTATGTCAATTTTCCAAGCTAGCGACTGGCTTCAAATCTGAACATGTGCTGGTAAAAAACGTGGACGTAACGGAACCCCTTCGGCGTGCAAACAAAACGCTCTGGTACGGAACATATACTATTGTCTTTGCAACCAAGCCTCGTGGTGTAGACGAATCTTCACTTGTGTTCATGAAATGCCAAACAGTTTGACTTAACAGAAGTCGTCGATGTGCCTCGTGCTCGCTCGCGACCTTTGATTGGCTGAAGCGACTGCGCGTCGGCCTTGAAACAAGCCCTGGGAAGCCCGAAGTGGCTCCACCATTTTTTATCAAGTTTCAAACTGGCTCCTCTACTTTCAATCTAGTGACTAATTTAGTTTCGATGTAGTTTCGCACTGGTTGCAACATGCAAATTCAGACTTCAAACTCGCCTGACTAACTAGGGGGGACGCAGGTTTTCAACGCATGCACTTGGACATCTTGGGTGATCTCCACAGGAATATGACGAATCAACAATGCGCGCAGGAAATTGCTTCCGCGGGAATGGCGAGATTGAAACTGGAGATTGAAATTGGGGAAGCCAGTTTAGCAGTCTTACAGAATCCGTCTAAACCTCTCGGGGGACGGACCGACTCACGCATACGGGAATTTTGCCCGGCTTCGTTGTGTCCGTTTACAAGCCTGCCCAACTCGATGCACCTTCGGTAATTAGAAAAGCCGTGCCTTGAAAAGGTGGGTGGGCAAAATCTGCCGCTTGATGCTGCGACTCGGCGGTGATGTTGATTCGAGCTCTTTGTTTTTTTCCTCACACTAAGGATGTACATCGGCTTGTGGCTCGCTGATTCTTCATCATGCTCGGAGCACGTTTAACGAGGTGCACCCTTTGCTGAAGCCTCACGGGTTTGAGAGCCGCGTCTCTAATCTAGTTGCACAGTGCTGGGCTCACCACGCATCTTTGGCCGACATGTCTTCTGGAGGCACTACACCATCGTCCAGAATCCCGTGGAACGAAACCACCGCCTTGGTTTCACTCACACCCTGCATCATGTGCTGAAAACACAAGGTTCTGTTGCGCGTCTTGCGGAATCCTACGTGATTCAGCGTTGAACACTGAGTAAAGGGCTGCCACCCCCGATCCAGGGCCCAAGCCTTGTCGTTGAGTCGCCCACATGGAGAAACGATACAGCCGTCAGTCAGCTCTTGAACCATCGGGACATGCACACATGGCTTTCTGAGAGCTTGGCGCGCCAAGTCAAGCACTGCACGCCCTCCGAAGCAATAACCAATGGCTCCGATCCGTTGTGGATCGACACCTTCCACGAAAGCCGCGTTGCTTTTTCATTAACAAACATACTTCAAGCCGTGCATCCCTTGCGGCCTCCCACTTCCGACATCGCACGGACAGAAGCTCGCATCCTGGAAAAGCCGTCGCACGCACGTCGTTTCTACCCTTCATGTCAGGTGTCAATTTGTCGAAATGCAGCTTATAACTTCGAGTCTCAATGAAGGGCTTACTGTATACTCACTTTAATCAACATACTTTAACCATCCTGGGCCACAAATAATCTTGTTAAGAGCTGTAGCAAGTCATGCCAGCAACCCAACAAATAAGCTCAAATTTCGGAGGCTTCAGGTCGGACTTGTGTTTGTGTTGGCGCCTTTGTCGGCTCATGCCGCGATCGTCGGCCAAAGGCTGACGCACAAGAGCTCCCCATTCCGGCCTGGGCATGTGGCAAGAATCGACACTCGTTGCTTGACGAGGTGTAGTTTTGGCATGTCTTGGCCACATCGCGCATCATTTTATGACTTCTTCTTTGTGTTGCAACAAGAAAAGCGCACTAGGAAGTTGGAGTACCATGTTCTCAACACTTGGTGAGCTCCGGACTCCCATGCTTGGCCAAACCTAGGCGGAAATTCTCCGAGGTCCAACAGCCGGTTTCTTTTGCTGCTGGGCTTGAATATGTGATGCTGAGTGTGTCCATAGTCATGATTCATTCATAAGTCATACATGTAGAATCCTGGGCCCTATATCTTTTTCCCCTCTCTTGACGAAGGTGATGTGAAAGTACGGTTGCAGTGCTTGTTTGAAGTTCGAAAAATAAGCGCACTTAGGGGTTCGGGCTGTTTTTCCTTCTCTTGGTTACGTACCCGGCTGGATATAAACATGGTCAACCCAGAAACTGCGCTGCAGAATACAAGCAAGCTTGCTTTCCTGAGCATGCCACCTCTTCGGTTATGGTCCCGGCGGCTTAGGGTTCAGGGAAGGACGCTAGAATGCTTAGCTTGCACTGTATGTTTATTGGTTGGATCTTCTCTGCCACCTAATCGCTGCGTGTATGATGACCTCATGCTTCTCGGCTGTGTGGTTCTTCTCGTTCTCTCTGGTGCTGCTTGTCTCATTCTTTTTATCGTGACCGGTTTCAATAAGTACAAACGATTTAATATTGAAACAGAATTTGCCACAATTCTACATATACATACCCTGCCCGAACCGTCTCAGCGATCGTGAGATCACCGGCGCTTTTAGATCTGTGTGGCAACCTGGCGGCTCACGTAGCCACAACCCTGGCCCCGACCCGTCGAAACATCCGGTCGCCAAGGAAACATAATTAGGAATGGGGTGGTAGCACACTGCCCTTTACACCGCTTGTCGCCTCATTCACCGCTGGGCTTTCAATTGATTCATCCGACAAACCTACGGACGCTGCAAATTCTGCATCAGGGAATTGCGCTGAGCTTGCAATGTCCAGAGAACCCTGCTCGTCGCCAAGCATGTCGGCAATGAGTACCGTGTATCCACCGGCCGCAAGAACTTCCGCTCGCCAGTGCAAATACCTTCGGCGAGAGCCGGGCAGTTTCGGCGATATATGGAACAGTCGATTCAGCAAAACACCACGGCAATGGTGAGGCGAGGCACAAGTCACGTGGACCGACTGCAGTATGTACGATCACCTTGTGGTACAGTAGTTCAATTGTCACTGCCTTAAAAAATTGCGACGAGTCTCGGTGCAAAGGCCGCGACCACACCGGCTCCGTTTGGTTTGGGTGGCTTCACAATCCGCCCGTGGAGTCTGCGAACTCCGACCTGCCAGGTTAGCAAGCTTCAGCCGTACAAACTGCATGAATGCATGCCCCAACCTCGTCCTCGTACACAAGGGGCTCCGTGACGAAAGACCCCTTGCCCTCAGCATCCAAATCCGTCTCCCACGTACACAGCACCGACAGGCGCGAACACGTGAAAACATGTGAACGCAACATGGGGGGTCGCCTGCAATGCCGGGTCTGCACGCCAAGCTGTTGACCTCGGTTGGACATCCCCGTGTTGGTCTTCGCTGCCTAACCCACCGGTGCTGACAGGCAATGTGCCCCGTCTCAAACGTGCTGAGTTGCCCAGCGGCACATCTCTTCATCAAATGTGCTGGGGTCCCGCGCACAGCTTCCGCATATGGCTTATCTTTGGCCATTCGTGGTTTCGGAGCCTTCGGGAGAAAAACTACTCGTGGGTATGCAGCGGCTTATTTCACCTGTGCTGAAATAAAGCCCCTGGCAACACCCTGCCATGCAATGACACATTGTGTCTTCATTATTCTACGAGCAGTGCTTCTACACCTCCATCCCCCAACTTGCCCATGAGAATCTTGTCCGAAAAACGCTCCCTCTCCTGCCACAACGAGGCCTCCGCAGCAGAAACAAACATCCCCACCGCCGGGCGCCTGCGAAGAGCAATGCCGAAAATGGAACATGTGAAATGCGGCAACAACGCAGTTGCGGCTCCATGCGTGCCCCAACAAACGACAAACACACCTACTGTTCGCCTGTGACACATGCGGCTTCGTACTGGGGCCCTCCTGTGCCTGCGGGTCATGGACCAATTCCTGGAAAGCTCGCCCAGTGTGACCTTGCACCGAGTTCCCATGATGATTCGGCAAATGGTTTTGTTTTTTTTGGTCCTTTGTCGCTGTTGGCAAGCGTTTGATTCAACCCGGGAGTGGCAACAGTGCCGCGGCCACGAAGAAATAATGCAAGGGAGCCGCTTGCAACTTTGATAAGTCCGGATGACATATTGCACGGCACAATGACCGTGGGCTGGATGGTATTCTGTTGTTGGCCGAACTCACATCTTCCCTCTGGTGTGCCAGGAGTATGACACCGCTGCGTAAAAACGGACCCGAGGAGTGGCAGTAGGAGTAATGGTAATAGTAATAGTAATAGTAATAGTAATAGTAATAGTAATAGTAATAGTAATAGTAATAGTAATAGTAATAGTAATAGTAATAGTAATAGTAATAGCAATAATAATAGTAATAGTAATAGTAATGGTAATGGTAATAGTAATGGTAATAAGTAATAGTAATAGTAATGTTAATAATAATAATGAAAGTAATATTAATAATAATAATAAAAAAAAATAATAATAATAGTAATGATGATAATAATAATGGTAATAGTAATTGTAGCAGTAGTAATAGTAGTAGTAGTAGTAGTAGTAGTACTAGTAGTAGTAGTAATAGTAGTAATAATAATAATAATACTAACAATAAAAATAGCAATAATAATAATAATAGTAGCAATAATAATAATAATAGTAGTAGTAATGGTAGTAGTAGTAGTAGTAATAATAATGATAGCAATAGTAATAGTAGCAATGGTAATAATATAGTACTAGTAATAGTAATAATAATAATACAAGTAATAATAGTAATACAAATTATAGTAGTAGTGGTAGTAATAATAATAATCGTAATAGTACTAGTAGTAGTAGTACTGTTGATGGACAAAATCCTGCATGACCCAAATATAGTATAGTACCATAAATCCCATAGTTTAGGTATATAGGGTCATGCAGGATTTTGTCCATCAACCGTACTAGTAGTAGTAATACTAGTACTAATAATAGTAATAGTAATAATAATAATAATTTAATAATAATAGTACTAATGGTAGTAATAATAATAATAGTAGTACTAGTAATAGTAATAATAATAGTAATAGAAATTGGAGGACAACAACAACAACAACAACTGCTACTAGTATTAGTACTATTATTATTACTGTTATTATTACTACTACTACTACTACTACTACTACTGTTACTACTGTTACTACTGTTACTACTGTTACTACTGCTACCACTACTTCTATTACTAGTACTACTAGTACTAGTACTACTACTACTACTACTACTACTACTACTATTACTACTACTACTACTATTATTACTACTACTACTACTACTACTACTACTACTACTACCGCTACCGGCAGTGGAGCGCTGGTGGCGGCGGGCTTGCCGCGCCGAGTCCAAGGCAGACACAAGCGTCGTGTCAACTGCGAGCTGGGCACCGCTCGGAGGGGGAAGGCCGTTGGAGATGACCTCGATGCGCCGCTCGTCCTGCCGCTGGACAACAAGGTTGAGGTCACGCAGGAGACATTGGTCGCGACGGTGGCCCCCGCCTCGCGGCAAACCCGCGCAGCTGCTCGCTCGAGTGGGACAGCCCGCGAGCGCAGCAAACCGGAGCGTGGGCAGGAGGCACGCTGGTCACCCATAGCATCGAAGCGGCGCTTGCAGGGGCAGAATGCAGGGACCAGGGGCAGCTGCAGGTGCAGGCGGCGCAGCAGCATCACGCGGTAAGACGCTGGCTCGAGCCGGAACTTAGGGGAAGTCGGCAAGGCTGCAAGCACTTTGGCTGAAAAGGGGCCGGACTGGGATTCCAACAAGGTCACTGATGAGGGATCGAGCCGACCTGCGAGAGAAGCCGCAAGAGCCGCGTCGAGTAAAGTGTCAAGCTGTGCAGCAATGTACTCGGGGGTGCCGAGGGGGGTGCCGAGCACGCGGAGGCCGCGCTCTGCAGCGGGGAGTTCTGGGTCCCCGACCCGGGGTGTGCACCGGCAGGCGCAGGTCGCGATGCGGGCCTGACGCCAACTGCGTTCCACACGCGGGTCTTGGAGCAAACAAGTGGTGCTGCAGCCTGCCCAAA